CTAGACGGCTAGGAGAAAAAGCGAAATTCCTGACTTCCTCTCCACTGTACATACAAATGCTTATTTTGCTGCTTTATGTTGACATAGGGCGTTTGCTGTTTCATGTCTTCGCAAGCCTTTTTATCCATTAAATTCTAAAAATTGCATTAAACTGAACTTCCTTGGCTTCGTTATGTTCAAATAATTTTTAATGAGCTATAGAACTGGTGCCTTCGAGATATTCACGTTCTTCTTCTAGGCATCGAGTAAAATAAAATAATGCGCTTTTAATTACCTGAATTTGCTCCATAATACACGAAGGAAGATTAGCAGTTAGTTCGTCTTTTTTTACTGAGTTTTTATAGTTGTTTGCAGTGAATTGCAATCCAAAGTTTACTTCTAGTTTCCCTGACTCCTCCACATGCCGTTGTTGGTTGATTCCTCTTCACGAGTACTTTCGATAAGTACTCAACGAAAATAAAAGTATGCAAACACCCGTAGGTATTTCTTAAACTAGTTAAACTTTCCTTAACGCAGATCGATAAACCCTGGTTCGGGCAGTGCCCTTAAAAACAATTTATATATGACCTATCTTAATTGTGTTCTAGTTTGAAACCTCTAATCGATTACGAACAGATTCCATCACCCTTCCAATATTCTCACAGGACTATTATTCCCCCAGGTCTTTGGAGAAAGGAGTATGAGGATTACCTTCGTAAATGGGGTGTAGACAAACAGAAGGCAGCCGTAAGTTCTGTTACAACAAACTGGGCATTTCTATATCAATATTAGTAAATAAAAAGTGACCTTATTCCAATTTTACTGCAGTCCCCGCAAGCTACGTGCCAAATTCACCTGTGCGAATATCTACTGAGCGTTTGATCATTTCGGTAGGCAAAATTTGAAACATTTTACTAACGTAGTTAGCAGTTGAACATTTGAAAATGCAAAGGTGAAAATGAAAGAAAAGAAAGACATCTCTCATGAATAGGAGGGAGACACGATTCCTGCTGGAATACGCACAAATTGCCAGAACTGTTAGGTGAAGAATCCATAATTCTTATGAGGCGTGTTGCGCCTCGCTGCTGTTAGCTCCTCTATTAGTAATAAGGTACCTAGACAGGAACATAATCTGGCACTTCTCTCAATTTCATTTATTAAAATAAATTACATTTAAAAGTTACTTTTAAGTTATTTTAAACATAGATTTGCTTTCGATAATTATCATCAGGCCTTTAAATTTATATGGTTATTCAGTAAATAAACTATGCGGGTTGGTAGAAAAAATAGAACGGTTGTCAGGGCACGGGGAATGGGGGGAGGGGCGGAACGGGGGTCAAAATCTGATCAGCGTTAGGGAGAACTGGTAGTTGGATGAGGTACTAAGCTGCTGGATGTTGGATTAGCAGCTTTTGGACGCACAGGACCCGTCGGCGTAGCCTGATGGCAGCCGCTTCTGCCGTAGCCAGCAGACTTTCTTTAAGAAATTTTGAATAGCTTGAGGGTACCTTGTAGATCACTCGGAACCACCCTCCCAGCAGCCAACGCCCATGTATTGTTCTCGACCACTCTCATCCTATACGGAGAGATCAAGGACAAACTACCAGCCCAGACCAACCCTATGTGCATATATTCATTTACCTGCTCATGTGGGGCGGGATATATTGGTCGCAGGAGTCGGCGTTCGTCCAAAAGAATACGAGAACACATTCCAGCATGATTAGGAAAGGACCAACTAAAGGGTTAAACAGTTCCATTCTAGCGTGTCCGGTAGACTCTGACCATCGAGTGGATGCCAAAGTGGCTTCTGAGTGATCTACAAGGTACCCTCAAGCTATTAAAAATTTCTTAAAGAAAGTCTGCTGGCTACGGCAGAATCGGCTGCCATCAGGCTACGCCGACGGGTCCTGTGCGTCCAAAAGAATGTCATCGCGACGCCGCAGTTACCATGGTCAAAAGCTGCTAATCCAACATCCGGCAGCTTAGTATCTCATCCGACTACCAGTTCTCCCTAACGCTGATCAGATTTTGACCCCCATTCAGCCCCTCCCCCCATTCCCCGTGCCCTGACAACCGTTCTATTTTTTCTACCAACCCGCATAGTTTATTTACTTAATTGACATATAAATGTAAAGGCTTGATGATAATTATCGAAAGCGAACGTATGTTCGCCAATTCATCTGCATTTTTCGAAGGAAATTTCTGCAAAAAAATATTTAAAACAGTTTATCGGTTTTAGGGGCATAAGTTTTTTTTACCATATTTCACTTGTTGCTTATCCTAAATACTTTGTGTTTGCTTTTTGAACCGTGTAATTTAAACAAAGCTCGTTTTCCTTACTGTTTAGCGTATATGCGCAATGGCTGACCAAGATAATAAAGGCTACATTACACGTGATATGCTGTGCAGAGGATTAAATTGTTGGCCCGGCAGGTATGTGTTTTAAATGAATTATGAATTGCAGCGTTTAGACCAACAGTTTTGAAAAAACTTAAAATCTTAACTTGGCTTCTTTTATTGCAATTTTAGGCCGGAGGCGCTGAGGCATGTAAAGGTTCTTCGGTGCGACATGCCTATAAGGCAACGCGAAACTCTTATTTGTCTCATCTGTGATTGCGCTAGAAAGCGGAAACACAAAGACGTATGAAACACTTAAATTGATTTAAAATGCATTAGGTCAGAAACAGTTTAATCATAAGTTATATGAGTGTCTTATTTACTACCGACCAGTCCTTCAGAGGAACAAAAATAGCTTGTATATTTTTAGGACGAATCTCATATATCGTCTTTTTATCTTATATTCTCTAAAAAATATTTAACATCAAAAAAATATCCAGAATGTCTATAATTTTTGGCTACGACAGTATGTAATACTTCAAGGCAAGCTTTGTAATTTATATAAGCTGAAGCTTTGCATAATGTAGGTATCCTTGCTAATGCGAAACCAAAATAATGCAAGAAAGTTATTTATTAATGATATTTTAAGTAATCAGACTGAAAGAATTCATGGCTGTTTTTACTTAACTCAAATTATTCCAGTCAAACTAAATGGCGAATATTGCGTTACATGTTCCATAAATAAACCAGAATATGGGGAGCTGTTGTCAATTGATCACCTACAAATAGAAAGGATACAAACGTAAAAAATAAATCAATAAAATCAGTGTTAGAAGAAGAGGATTCGATCACTGGAACAAGAGTTTTATTTTCCTGGGGTTTCGGATTCTCTCGGGTAACTCTTGTTCCCGTGGTCGCATTTTCTTCTTCTGAACTGCTTCCTGGAACTCGCATATTCTCTACTATTGGCAAAATCAGTATTGTGTAAGTTCTGCAAATATTTCCATGTTTGATTTGAAAAATTGATTTTGTAAACCAGTGTTTGTTTAGCAACTCTTCATCAGCCCAGTACATTTGCAGGGTTAATGAATATTATACAGTGGACAGGGTTTATATGTGTACTTTGATTACAACTCATTGCCCTATCTTGGATGTAAGAAACTCTCCTTATCACACCATTTTCAAAGCCACTTGGAAGTTATCTATCCCCTCGAAGCTTGAAAGACACATCCGAGTTTGTCGATGCTTTAAAAAATATGAACGTTGGTGGAAGTAAGATGCTCTCATCGGATGTACTATCACTTTTTACCAAAGTGCCCGAGAGAGAAATCATAAACTACCTCTGTGACGTTATTCGAGACACGAACTACCAGATCGGCATGCCCGTGAAAACCCTCAAATAACGACTTATGAAATGCACATAAATATGGAATTTCTCTGCAATGGATGGTTTTACAGACAGATCATTTGTCAATGGGCCTACCTTTTGGCCTGTTTCTCGCAAATGTCTTTATGGACAAGATCAAGAAAACGAATCTAAGGGAAACCATCAATGGTCTTGCATCTTACGGTCGACATGAGAGTGATACCTTCTTTCTGACTCACTACAACACTGAAACTGACATCCTAGTTGTAAAGTTTAACAGCGTGCATCCATCACCCAAATTTTCTGCAGAAATTGCTGAAATTGCGTCTCTCGATGTTCTTCAGCGAAGGCTACATAGCGGATTCCGAAAGAAAACCTGGACTAGACATTATATCAACTTTCACATTTTTGTTCCCCTAACTATAAAACGCAAGCTAGTCCAGGGAGTAGCAGCTAGAGTACGACGGATCTTGTCTACAGAGACTGTCGAAGCAGAACTCCAATAGCTGCAGAAAAAGCTTCTTAAAAATGGATACCCAGAAAGGTTCATCCTAAGCAATATTGGCAAACACGCCACAAAGCCTGCTACCTTTGCCGCAGACGTGTTCAAAGGACTGTCTTTCTTGGTCGATGCAAGAAGCGAGCTGGTAAGACGACACCTGAAGACTGTGATCGCAAGCGCGCTTTCCTCGTGGCGAACTTACGCGTGTTCTTCATGAACTCTCCCCCTCTACGATTGGAAGGTAAAGACCGACTTCCGTTGAAGGCCGCATCCATGTGCATTTGCTCTTTCACTTGTTCCTGTAGAGCAGGATACATCAGCCGAACAATGAGGCGCCTGGAAAAGAGGGTACGCGAAAACATACCGGCCTAGTTAAGTAAAGGTGAAAATAGATCGATCTCGAGTTCTATTCTCGCACACCTTGTCGATACTAATGAAGCCTTTCAGGTCGTCTGCCAGACACCAGCTAACTTCTCCAAGAACCTACGCCAACGGATGCCGCCAGCAGTCGAAGCGGTGGCTATATGGCTGGCGAATCCAGTCCTGTGTGGTCAGGAGACGCTAACGCAAACACTTTCACTTCCGCCGCCAGGTGGCGATCGCACATCGCCCCCGCACCCTAGTGACAGTCATTCGCTCCGTGCGAATGACAGTGATTATCACCCCCATGTAGCTGACCCCTGACCAGTGCCCACAACCTAACCCAATTTTCTCCCCCCCCCGAGCACAAGAACCTTTACATGCCGACCTCGCTGTGCGGGCGGCGTGAAAACGATGACCTTTGAGAAGAAAACGACTCGATCGTTGGGACTACTTTTATTCGCCTGACGTTTCGAGATCCGTCGCGCATTCATCCTCAGAGAGCAGTAGCAGGCCGGCAAGTAGACCTTGTTGGATCCGGAACCCCGCCGGGTGGGCCTTAATCCCGGCGGCGAGGAGGGGGAGGAGTCGGAGCAGCATAGTCAGGAGGGGCTGCTCTGTTGTCATAAAAAAAAAACAGATGGAGAGGAGAAGAGATGGTCCAGCATAGGGAGGTTTGGTGTAGCAGACCTTGGCCGCGGTCGATGACGCGTCTGCTGTGGTTCCCAGAGAGCAGTAGCAGATACGGGTAGCGAATGCACAGGAGTTTGCAGTACTGAGACATTGCCTGAGCAGGAGAAACAGCCACGTGGGAAGGGCCGGGCCCAACAACAACTCTGACGACAGCGAGCATAATTGTCACGCAATTACCAAGCCAGCATCTGACACGGAAAAGGAAATCGCGGCATTTCAAGAAAAGGTGTCCTTTGGGAAAATCAATAAATTTATTTAGTAAATTTTCGACACTGGATCCCCAGGTCGTCGTCAGACTTGAGAGAAATGGGCAAAGAACAGTTAGCATTTCAACGTGCTGATATAGTTACATAGTCATTTGGTATGGGCGTTAATTGGGGGTCTCAATTTGCGTCACATCATGGTGGACATGATAAGCAGTCGCAATGGCGTGACGGCTAATTGGCAACTGTAATTTGAGTCAGTCCGGGGTCAG